TATATATATATAGGCTTGTACACACACACACACACACACACACGTATGCATGTATACATATAAATAAATATACACACACACACTTCTGCCATTCTTCAGTAAGACCTGCACTCAGAGAAAAGGTGGTACCTGAGCTAGAAAACTGGAAGGTACTGTGCTGCATTTGGGGATTCATGACAGGCCCAAACTGTCCTCCCATGTTTCCCATCATTCCCTGGTTAGTCAGATTCATCTGGGAGCCATGCAAGGAGCTGTGAGAGAGGAGCTGTGACCCAGGACTGGGGGACACTGGGGAGAAAAGACTGGTGAAAGATGTTGGGGATCTAAGTCCAGTACCGTAGTTTGGAGGAAATGGAAACTGCTGTGCATTTGCTTGTGGAATCCGTGGGTTGCTCATGGTTGCTGGTATACCACCAGAGGCCACCATGCTCGGTGTCATATTCAAACCCTGTCCTCTCATCATTAGAGTTCGCTGTTGCACCTGCTGTTGCTGGTGCATCTGTCTTTGCCTTAGGTGCTGACTCAGTATCTCCCTCTGCCTCTGGGCCAGCATCTGTGCATTGAGAGGTCCCTGTGGCAGAAATGACAAAAGGTATATCAATAAACAGTAATAAATAAGTGAAACAGAAGAAGCGTATATATGGGAACGACCAATAACACTGAAGTTCCTTTCTTTACCAGACACCTAAATAATTGGAAGGTACAAGTGCATAGCACTAGTTCTGACAGAATTCCAAAGAAGAATTCCATAACTATTAATGTTATAAATGACATTAGTACTGAAATCTTACGATTTCAAATCTTCATACATTAAGCCATTCAAAGCACATCATACTTCATAGGAGAAGAACTCAGGTTAAAATGGAATTACACAAGTATTCCTTCCACACCCCTCAATAACCAAACTTCCACATAGTTTATATGCATTTTTGTTTATGCATTTTGTGATTTTGAGATTTATTGTTTGCAATAAATGCTGTGATTTATTCTTTGCATTTATTATGCATTATTAGCATTGTAATTAGAGTGAAGAGCCTAACTTTTGGGAAAAATTAAGCTTAAAACAAATTGGAAAATAAAAGGAATAAATACAGAAGTACTGAGAGTACCTCGTCCCTCACCTGTGTTGGTACTCCAGGCCTCAGAGACAGGTTCATGTTGGAGACACTGCTGATCTGATTTATCAGGGGCTGGCGATTCTGAAGAAACAAAACAAATCAGAAGAAAACCAAATGGGAAATTACATTCTACACTTGTTGCAGGTTCTGGCAGAATCATAGTTAGGTGTTATTGTTTTTGTTGTAAAAAAAATCACATAACGAGATATTATGCTATAGCAATTACACACACATACCCCATTATAAATATTATTACATTATACATATTAGTCTTCCAAATGTAACTCCTTCATAACTTTGATCTTTTAAGACCGAAACAGTATTTTTCCCACAAATAATATGTTTTACCATGTTTTATTTATATCAGTACTCAAAATATGGTGGTAAAAAAATAACAAAGGGAACAATAACTTAAAATGGTCAGAAGGTGGAGATAGTGACAAGAGAAATTTTTAAGGTAGCTGACAGTGTCTCAATAAGTAAGCAGGTGACTATGCATCAGAAGACACCATTATAACCTTGCACAAAGGTCTAGTGAGACTAGGACTAAAAAACTATGCACATTTTTTACACCATGTAATTACAGAAAAGATAATGACAGGCTAGAAAAGTTGCAGAAGCAGTAAACAAGGAGAATATGTACCATTCTCTTGTACGAGTTAAAATATGTACTCTCCTATGGGAATTCATTCTGGCCAATACTTCTAGTTCAGATTTGGAATTGAAGGTAATACATAAGACAGAGAACATATTCAGGAATAAGAATATCCAGAGCTAGTTGAAGTAAATATATTTATGCTATGCTACACAACTGTGCTCTGACTGAACTTGTCATAGCTAACATGTAAACACGGAATACCTGCTGTGCTTGGAGTCTATGTTGAAGTTGAAGTCTCAGCTGATTTGGTTGGTTCTGCACTATACCAGTAGGCCTGAGACCAGGCCTAGTTTGCATACGCAGCGTTGGATAACCAGGTCGCTGTCCTATTGGGTGAAAGTTTGGATCCTGCATGGGTGTATAGCTACCCTGGGCCATTTGAGCCTGAGATGCATACTGTTGAGTGAAAACTGGTGCCTTTTGTTCTATTATGATGTTCGAATCCTGACTTGAGAATGTCTCTGGATCTACAGCCTGGCTCTGCAGAAACATAAAAATAAGAACAGGTAGTAAAAAATGTAACCTTTACTATAGTATACCTACTTTAACTATGTAGTAAAAAAAAATATCATTGGGATTGTTTCAGTCTAAAAGCCCAGCCTCCCTGCCAAAAAATCCTTTACCAAATGCATACAACTGGATCAAATTTACTCCTAAAGATAGGTACATTTTTTATGATTGTTTAAATGAAACTTAAGATGAATTAAATTGTTTCCATAATACGTTAAGAAAGGCACACATCTGTATCTCTTCCTTGAAGCTACATACTTCCTGCAGTCTTCTCAGTATGAACATTGCTGCATTGTGCTAGTGCTCGAGAATCTGAAAGTAAAATGACTAGAAACTATAAATAAATGGCAAGGACTTCCCCCATCATCAATTGAACTGAACTGGAGTGTAGATGTCATCAGTTAAGTTAACCTGCTGCCCCTGGGCTCCAGAGTGAGCACTATTCCCCCCCACCACTTGAGCAGTTGCTGCTGCTAGCATCTCCCAGCTCCTGCTTCCATTGCCAGCCCCTCTCCTGGGTGCACCAAGAGTCAGGTCCTCATGGTGCAGCATGCACGGCATAGGGGCACCAACACAGTCTGCTGAGGGGAAGGAGGGAGGGGCATGGTGAGCAAGTTGTACAGCATATGGCCTGGGGGCCATGCCCCCAGCTACTCAGAAGTTGGCTCTTAACTTGAGGTAGCTGACACACTTCTATAAAATAGTCTAGACACTCCCTAATGTCTATTTCCAGGTATAATCATTTGTAATCCACCCTGTGAATCCAATTGGCTGGAGGTTAAATACTCTAGTGAAGACAAGACCTTATACTCCTTTAAAATCTTTGTATTAGTAAATAATATTTTTAAAATCTGAAATTGGATAGTTTCCTGTACATTTGTAAAATGCTTAAAGTCATTTCCATAGAGATACTTCTTAATAAGACATGCACGTACTACTTCAGCTAAAGTATTACTTTTGACACTTGTTCTTTAGCAGTACAGTTGTAGCTATTCAGCCCTCTCCCTCCTTTTTCTTTGGCAATCCCTCACAGTTAAGGATGATCGTCTTCTATGATTGTCTTATCTGTGGGTCTGAAGATGGCTGATGAGGTCTATCTGGGATCGAGAGATTCTGCTGCAGCTTGGACACGTGTTTCCATGTGGGTTGGATGGTGCTGGATTCTTGGTTTGGTCTGTGATATGTCGTTTCTGCTGCTCCTGCTTTTACATCTCCTTGTTGTTGTTGTGAGGTTTCAAAGTACTGAGATCCCTGCAGCACTCTCCTTCTATTTAAGGCAGTCCTGGGAGACAGTCTCCTATGAGCTGACATCAATGTTACATTTTTTAAGTTGGCCTTGAGGACGTCCCTGAAGTGTTTTCTCTCCCCTCCTCATAGAGTGCATGCCTTGGCTAAGCTCGGAGAATAAAACTTGCTTCGGGAGTCTGGAGTCGGACATCCAGATGACACGGCTGGTCCAACAAAGTTGATGTTGGATGATGATCACCTCAATACTCGTGGTGTTTGCTTGCAAGAGGACACTAATGTCAGTGCATCTGTCTTCCCATTGGATTTGGAGAATCTTTTGTGAGCAGTGTTGATGGTACTTCTCCAGCATCTTTAGATGTGTCCTGTATGTTTGTCCATGTCTCAGCTCCATACAGCAAGGTGGGAGCCATGATTGCTTGTTAAACCATGATCTTGGTTTCAGATCTGATGTCACTATCTTCCAGCACCCATTTCTTCAAGTGTCCAAAGGCTGCACTTGTACATTTGAGGCAACGCTGGATTTCTTCACTGATGTCAGTCTTCTGAGAGAGATGGCTGCTGAGGTACAGGAAATACTCAACATTCTCCAGAGTCTCACCATGGATCTGAATTACTGGAGCTGGGGACTGTTCATTAGGAGCTTGCTGGTGGAGATATGTGATAGTTTTGACTACTGAAATAAATGTTAATCAAAATCTTGTCTCTAATGAAGCACTGCACTGTGCTCAGTGTCATACCAGATATCCATAGATGGATTTTTCTTATGTCCAACTCAGGACTTTATGAGCTCTCTTTTATAACTAGAGTATTTTACAGATAAAGAATCAGATACAGGGAAAGAAAAAAGGTCATATATGACACACTGAGTTATTTCAGTAGGTACTACTCTCACACAAAATGGGGAGAGATGATTGGCTGCATATTACTGAGCCACAAGCACAAGTGTGTCTGTCTCAATGTTACAGACAATGTTACAGACTTGTCTATCTTAATGTTACAGTCTGATAATGCACCTTGAATTAGAAATTAGACACAACAGTGATCAAGTATCAGCATATAATTTTTCCTAAGCCTTTTTTATATTTCTATCATGTTAAATCAACATTGTGTGGCATTGTAATTGAGAAGAACCAACTGAAAGTTAACAGGAATTGTAGGAAAGGGGAGAAAGCCTGAAGTTTAAGTACTTTGGGCATATGTAAGGATTTTTCTATCTGTAAACCTACAAGGTTTTAGGTGGTTGTGGTAAAAACACTTTTTGTTTTACAAAGAAACAGAAATTTGTTTTATAATACAAATATGATGTAAATGCAATGTAATTTTTAAGGCCTCACACAATTTTTCCTACTGATCAGAATCTTAAATCATGTTATTTTCCAAACTGCCAAAAGTGTTTGCGTGTAACATGAATTTTCATCTCCTTGACCTTCAGGGGATTTTATCCTTTAAATGTATATTTAGAATTCATTAGTATCAATTATACCTGGCTAACCAGTTCTGGTATTCCTAGAGCCCTGTCAATTTCTTCTAGGCCATCAAAATTTCTTAGTGCCATATAAAGCTGATCCAGGAGAGTCCCCTCATCACTTGGTGACTCTGATGAAGGATGATTACACAGCAAGTCATCTGGTGAGCTGCCAAATGGTTGCCTGTGAAAACATGAATATAAGATGAGTAAACAGCTGCTGGAAGAAGAGTACTTAATTTAGATAAAGGATTATTTCTCACAAATTGAGCTAACAAGTCCCATACTACAGGTGGCAACTATTTCCACAGCTGCCAATTCTGCTTGGTAATCTCCAAATGGAAAATTTAGTTCCCAAGCACCTGAACAGCTGTCAAGTTACCAGGGCTAAAAGTAACAAAGGGAGATGCAAATACAAAATAGGATCAAAGGAATAAGGAAGAAGTCAGTGTAAAATACATTTGTCAAAGGCAGAAACAAGACTAAACAGAGAGAGAATGAATGTTATTTTTTTTTTTTTTTTTTTTT